CACACAGATGGCAGTGACTCCATTTTAAAGGTCTGATACAGTCTTATAGGGGGCTCAGATGTCCTCATAGGTGCTGATTTCATGCCCTCTGGCTGTGTACCCCGAAGAGGGGTTGCCACATGGGTGGACACATGTGCTGATGAGCCAGGCACAGAAAGACAAATACTGCGTGATCTCACTTATGCACTGTTTCTAAAAAAGTTGACGAATATACAGAAGCAGAGAGTACAACAATGTGTGCAGGAGGAATGGGAAGGAAAGTGAAGTAGGACAAAAAGTATGAATTTATAGTTATGGGGATAAATAAATCTAGACATTTAATGTAGAGCATGAGGTCTATAGCTAGTAACACTGAAATTTTGCCAAAAGAGTGAATTCTAGGAGCTCTTATCACACACAAAAGGTGTATCTATGGGACTGGGGATGCAGCTCAGTGCTCGAGTGCTTGCCTAGCATGTGCAAAGCCCTGGTTTGGATCTCCAGCACTGCAAAGAAAAGAAAAGATGATTATGAAAGATGATGGATAAAGTAACTGACTGTAGTTAATCGTATATATGATAAACATCATGTTATAAACCTTAAATATATATAATTAAAAAGAAAATAAATAGTAGAATGTGTGGGATGTATGGGAAATGTATAGAATGTATAGAATGTATGGGAAAGGGATGAAGGAGAAGCCAATAGATTAAACCAATTTACTAGAGTTACCAAGTTTTAAAAAATGAAAATACCAGACATGGTGGCGCACGCCTGTAATCCCAGCACTCTGAGAGGCTCAGGCCGGAAGATCACATGTTGAAGCCCAGTCTGGGCAACTTAGAGACTTAGTGAGACCCTGTCTCAAAAAAATAAAATAAAATAAAATAAAATAAAGGCTGGGGATGTAGCTCAGTGCAAAAGCCCTGGGTTCAATCCCCAGTACCATAAAAATGGAGATTATTACAGTGTTTAGCTATGCCAATTAGACAATAAATGCAAGGAATCAAGTACTCCAAAAGTGGGAACTGTGGCTACTTTTGCAGGGAGACTTGGCACTATGACTGAGATGGGACCTGTGGGTGCCCTCTAGGGTGGCTAGAAAGTTCCGTTTCTTTACTGGGCTAACAGTTAAAAGGATGTGTGGCTCATCATAATTCGGTAAGGTAGGGCCGGGGATTTAGCTCAGTGGTTTCGCCACCTGCTGCGCAAGCACAAGGACCAAGTTCGATCCCTGGTACCAAAAAAATTTTAAAAAAATAAAAGACAAAAATAATTCGCTAAGGTATACATTCATGTGTTCTTTATGTTGAGCTTTATTTTACAAGATTAGGAAAATCAGAGGTAGCATTCTCCAGTTTTTTGTGCAAGTGGTTTTACACTCTGGCTCCCAAAACAACAGCTAAGAAGCCAGTGACTGTGGCTCTTCCCAACCCCAGCTCAAGTGCAGCCGAGGTCTCTATCACAGTTGCAGCCACCAGAAAGAACGTGTAGCCTGACACGAGGGAAATAACAAAGGCCTTGGAATCAAGCAGACCTGAACAAATGTCAGCAGTCTGTACTTTTTTGTTTGTTTTTGGTACTGGAGATTGAACCTAGGACCTTCACGCTGAGCTACTTCCCCAGCCCTTTTTATTTTTTTATTTTTTATTTTGAGACAAGGTCTTAGCAAGTCACTAAATTGCCCAGGCTGGGCTCGAACTTGAGATCCTCCTGCCTCAGGCTCCCAGAGTGCTGGGATTATAGGTGTGCACCACCACACCTGGCTCCATCTGTTGGCTGGTTGTCTTCTACTTAATGACTGTGCCATGTTGTGCAAGTTGCCCAGTCCCGCAGAGTTCAATTTCCTCATGTCATAAATAGGGATAATGGCTTGTTGTGAGGATTAGATAAGTGTGTGCATTGGTACACAGTAGGTGCTCAGTGATGCATTACTATAATTATTTTTATGAGTCAAAGAACAGGTTGGCCAGGTTCTAGGACCTGGAAAGTGTGTGTGAATCTGCCGCCATGCTGGGTAGTTGCCCTGAGTGTTCCCATAGCTGTTCTGAGACCCAAACAAAGGTCTTTTCTCCTCCTACTGGCTGCCTTCTCCTGGAAGACAGGCCTCAGCAGGGAGGCATTAGGTCATGCCTGGAGTGCTGCAAGCATGTGACCCTCTTTGGGGTGTTCTTCCCCTTACTAGTGAAGAAAGAGTCAGCAAGTGTTAGGGAACCAATGAATGATCCTTTCAGTGATAAACACCGTGACAAAACTCCCTCCTACCTAAGATTTTGAAATTGGGAGGGATTGGCCTCACTTCGAGAAGGTTCCTGCTCCCGTGGGTCCAGGTTCAGCCTAAACTGCTGAGGGCCCCAGGCCTCGTTCTGTCTCCACAGACAAGTCTAGGTAACACCCTCCTCCTCCAAGGGACATTGGTCAATGCAGGACATATTTTTGGTTGTCATAACTGGGAGGATGTTACTGGCATCCATGGGGCAGAGGCCAATGATGCTGCTAAAATCCTGCATCACACATGTCAGCTCCCCACAGCAAAGAATTATCTGGCCCAAAATATCAATCATACCAAGGTGAGAAACCCTGATCTGGAGGGGAGTGGAAGGCTCTCGACCTCTGGTCCTCTCCTGGGTTTCGTGACATATGTGCAAGACAGGATGCTTGAGGCTACAAGAGGTTACTAACTTGCCCAAGGTCATCTCACTGTCAGGGTCATAGTTTTTCACTTCAAAGCTAGGTCTCTGTTGGAGAGTGGCCTCCCTGAGGTTTCCTGGGAATCCAGATTTATAGTTATTCTTTCAAATAAAACCTTTGGGGCCGGGGATTTTAGCTCAGTGGTTCCTCCGCCTGCCTCGAAAGTGGAAGGACCTGAGTTTGATCCCCGGTACAAAAAAAAAAAAAAAAAATCTTCAAAGGACAACCTGAGCCACAAGAAAGAGGCTCAGGCTTTTCCTTGCTTATGAGTTGCTCACAGAACAACCCCTCCGAGCCTCTCCATCCCAGCTCTGAGCTGATCCCGCCGGACTAGACTCTCACGCCAGCACACAAGCCTGTTCAGGTTCAGGCCCTGTTGTGTCCTCTGTCCACGCAGCCTCACACTGGCTCTTCCAGCAGTGCCCCACCCCCACGCTCTCACTCCCTGCCTTGCCTGTGTTCAGGGATCTCCAAATGTACCCATCCTCCCTGGGTAGACCAGATGGTCTTGTGGGGAGGAAAGAGTAACTGTTGCTCACTTCAGTGCTAGGTATTTGCTGTAATGTGTACTAGCAACAAAGAAACTAGCAAGCAAATGCATGATATAGTGCGTGCCTTTTAAATAAATGTATTTAAATCTTAAAGGTAGTCCAATAAAATATTACGTAAATGTAATACAGGCTGTAATCATATGGAGTAAAAACCATGGAGGTGGTGTGTATAGACATGAAGTGTGTCTTTGCTGGCGGGGAGGGGTTGTTGGAGATACTGTCTTGCTGTGTAGCCCAAACTGGCTTAGAACTTGCAGTCCTCCTGTCTCAGCCTCCTGAGTAGCTGAGATTCAAGTGTGTGCAACTTTGCCTAGTACCAAGTGTGTCTTTGCTTAAGCTTTTTCCCTGGCTTCACGCCCTTCTCCCTGCCTGGTGTCTCTGCCCTCTCACTCAGTGAATCCCTTCTTCTGCTGATATTCCACCTTCCTGAGGACCCAACTCGGGCCTTCTCTCCTGCAGAAGCTTCTCCGCCCACTTCCAGCCCAGGTGGGCCCAGGGACTCCTCTGGAGCCAGGGCTAAGCAACCCCAGAGTGCAGTTGCCTTGAACCAGCTGGACTGGGAAGAGGCTGTGAGGAGTGGCCGTTGTCGAAACAGCAAGACACAAAGCCCTGCTCTTTACTTCGAAGTTTCCAGCTCAGCCCATCCGGAGCCACGAGCTTCTGACCAGAACCGAGCCGCCGAGACAAGCCAGGGCATGAGAGCCACTGAACCTGATCTCCACCAGCCTGCCTTGGGGTGCCAGAAAGTCTCTGTCTCTGGGCCTGGCCGACGTGGCTCTGTTTGAGTTTGGCCAGGTCAGTTCTCCCAGCTGAGGTTCAGTTTTCTGTCTGCACAGCGGGCAGGGAGTAGAGCCCAGCCTGCCAAGGTCTCTGTGAATTTGAAGCTAAGCGAGAGGCTGAGGAGGAAGTGGTCGGGAAGCCATAGGGCACTTCTGAACCTGTGGAAGGGATCAGTGTTTTTAGACTCCTAAATGAGGACAGACAGCCGGTGCTGTGGGGTTTTCGGAGCGATGCCGTGCAACCAGAATAACCAGATCGCATATTTGTGCCTCTATCCACATGCACGCACACATGCGCGCACACACCCTGGCTGTAGAATGTGGCTTTCGGACCTCCTTGAAATGCTTTGTGATCCGGCACACACAGGAAGCTCAGACAGGGTGTCAGGACGCTGCACTTAGAAGGGCAAAGCCCAAGGGAAGACAGAGATGACCCAGATCTGGAAACAGTTTTGTTCTTTCGGTTAACAGCACTTGCTCAAGCAGCTCCCCTGGAGCGGGCTCTGGGGACAGGGGGACCAAGGTGGAGTCTCTGGCCTCATAGGCATCCTGTGAACATGGAGGACCCACTCGTGAACAAGCTATTCCACACAGGGCATTCAGATCTACAGGCAGCAACACTCAGGATGGCATGGAACCCTAAGATTTAGCCTGAGAACCCCAGGATATGAGCTTACTTCGAGACACCTGAGAAGGAGGTTGTGTGAAAATGTGGGAGTCCAGTGTGATGGCACACACCCGTAATCTCGCCTACTGGGGAGGCTGAAGCAGGAAGATTGCAAGTTTGAGCCCAGTGTTACCTACATACCTGGACCCAGTCTCAAAAAATAAACAACAAAAGAAAGACAACTGCTAGGTGTGATGGCACATGTCTGTAATCTTAGCACTCAGGAGGCCGAGGCAGGAGGATCACTGTGAATTCAAGGCCATCCTGGGCTACATAGTGAGTTCGAGGCCAGCCTGAACTACATAGTGAGATCTTGTCTCAAAAAACAAAACAAAAGATGAAAGAACTTTATTAATCATCTTATTAATATGCCTGAAATGTACCAGTAAATGTTTTGCTATATAAAAAAATCATCTCATAGAAGATTCATAAGAAAATATTGTGTATTTAACCCAAAGTGCTTCTGTTTGCTGGCTTGCTTATATTTTTCTGTACTGGGCATTGAACCCAGGGCCTTCACACTGAGCTGCATCCCTAGCATTTATTTTTCTGGACCGTCTTGCTAAGTCACTAAATTGCTCAGGCTGGGCTTGAATAAGCCTCCTGCCTCAGCCCCCTAAAGTGCTAGGAAAATGGCTGTGTTGCCCCCATGCCGGGACCCAGTGACTACATTTCAAGCCCTGTGTGAGGGCAGGGGCCATCCTGGACTCCCCAGCATTGCTCCCAATGTGGAGCAGGGTGCTGTACACAGTGGCCAAAACTGCTGAACGATCCTCCATCAGTATTGTGACTCTCACAGCTCAGTCAAGCAGCAGCAATCTGAGTCCTGTGCAGGGCTCTGAGGTCTGGAAGTGACATCATATACAGCTCCAAGATGCAGGTTTCCAGGGGTCACAGGGAGGCCTGCAGAGAAGAGGGCAGTGCCACTGCTAATGGAGCCAGCCCCACCCTCTGCAGCCATCCGAGCCCCAGAAGAGACAGGACCCGATCCACCACTTTGCTCTGTGTGGTGTTTTTTGGGTCCTTACATTTTACAACCTACCAACTCTCCCAGCAAGTCTAGGGCCAGGAAAAATGCTCCTCTTCCTCCTCCTTCTTCTTCCCTTTCTCCCCCCCCAACTCCTCCCCTCCCCCTCCCCCTCTCCCTCCTCCTCCTCCTCCCTTCTCCTGCTCTTTCAGGGTTTTGCTATGTAGCTCAGGCCGGCCTTGAACTCATGTTCTCAGGGTTACAAGTGGCCTTACTGTAGATTGCACTCATTCAATTGATTTGGGCTTTTCCACTAGGACTAGCCTCTTTTTTTCCCTAAAATTTATAACAGTATTAGGCAGCAACATATGATGCATAGAAGAGATATATGCACACAAATGTAAGCTAAGAAATACGATAAAAAATGAATACTCCTGAACCATCACATGTATGGAGGGTTGGAGCACACCTAGGATGGCTGTGTCCACCTGGGGAGTCTTTCCCACCTCTGCTCTGGCCAGCCCCACAGCCCCATGCAGAGCCATAGTCCTCAGCCTTCTCTGCATTTCCGTTGTGTTTTTCATGGTCTCATTCCAAAAATATACTGCAAGAAAACACTGTATTATTTCATTTACTTTGTTGTTGTTGTTTTTTTTTTTTGAGCATCATAAAAAGATATCAGGGCTGGGGATGTAGCTCAATGGTTCCAGTGCCTGCCTCGAAAGCGCAAGGTCCTGAGTTAGATCCCCAGTACCAAAATACATAAAGACATAAATAGACATCATATTCCAGTCTTTTTCTAAGCTTTACTGAGGTATAACTGCATGTTAAAGGTTGTACATATTTAATGTGTACACCTTGATGAGTTTGGATGGGTGCATACAATCCATGGGACCATCACCACAGTCTCAGGACTAAACATATCCAAATATTTCCTTGTGTGTTTTTTCCTATTCTGTGATAATCTATGTTGTTAACATTTAACTATTAATTCTTTCTGAGATGGTCTATGTTGCCCAGGCTGACTTGAAACTTGCAATCCTCCTGTCTCAGCCTCCCAAGTGCTGGGATTACAGGCATGTGCCACCCCGCCCAGCTTCTGTTAACGTGTATTAAAGTTCATAGCACCATATTGTTAACTATAGGCTGTCTGTTGAGCAGTAGATCTCTAAAAATCAGTCATCTTGCATAACTGAAACTTTAGACACATTAAGGAACAATCCTTCACTTCCCCCTTCCCCAGCCCCTGGCAACTGTCATTCTACTCTGCTATTTTGAGTGTAACTATTTTATTTTATTTATTTTTTATTTTTTGGTACCAAGGATTGAACTCAGGACCTTGCACTTTTGAGGCAGGTGGTGGCACCACTGAGCTAAATCCCCAGCCCAGACTATTTTAGATAACTCAAGTAAGTAGGGTCATGCAGTGTTTGTCTATGTTTGGTATATTTCACTTAACATAATGTCCTCTAAGTTTATCCATGTTTTCTTCTTTCTTAAAGGAGGTTTTTCTTCTTTCTTAAAGCCAAAAGATATTCCATTATACATAGCTTGCTTTCTTTCCTCATTATTTCCATTCTATTGCATGTCGCTTTTCATTCATTTGTGTTCACTTGTGTAGTATTCCATTACGTGAACAAACAGTAATCATTATTTACCTACCTGTCAATAAGTAGGATGCTTATTTCCAGTTTTGTACCATTATGTATCATAAGGTGGTGCTACGGACATTCTGTGGATCTCCTGGTGTACAGGAGCAGGGCTTCATCTAGAGTAGATATGGGGAAGCTTGCTGCTGGCTTGTGGGGTCTGTGGTGAGGTTCTTGGCTTGGAACTTGCCGCCTGGGACCTGGTGCAGACTACTCCGCAGCCTTGCTCCCACGGCCCCCAGCCAAGCCACCCCAGTGGGCTCCATTCCCCAAACACTGACTCACGATGCCCTTCCTTGTCTCCAGGGCTTTGCCTGTGCTGGTCCCTGGCCTGCAGTGTGCTTTCTGCCCTGTTTCCATCTCCTCTCTTCTTTCAAAGTCAGGCTCAAAGCCCTGCCTCCCTTCCCAATGGCCAGGGTGTTCTGTGCCTCCACACACTTTGTCAGGGTCTCGAGGGGAGAGAGCCAGTGTGAGCCTCAGCCCTGTCATCTCCTGTCTTTGATCTTCGGCAAGCCCTTTCTGACATTATCTCTGGGAAGCAGATATTCTGACTTGACTGTCACCACATTGCCGAACAAATGACATCTTAGAGAAATAGAGTCTCTTGTCCTCCCTGTAGCTCGGGGGAGGCATGGGACAGATTCAGAAGGAGCCACCCCACTCCCAACACCTCGATCCCACACATCATCACACAAACTGTGACACTACACATTGCTGTGGTTTAAAGCACTCCCTTTGCAGTATTTTGCTACATCACCCCTAGAAAACTAATACAGGAGAAGAAATCATGCTAATGTGATAATCACCCCAAATATTTACCTTTCAAGGATCTGTATATGATTGCATTCAAGAAAATGATGTTATTAGGAAAAAACTCCCACAGTTGCTTATTGGGAGGCTGTTCTGATGGGCAGTACACAAATGTTTTCAAACAGCTGGTACCTTGTAAAAGGCAGCTCCTGACTCAGGATATTCTTGTCAGCATGGGACTGCAGATTTGCCTGAAACAATAGCACCCTATTTCTGCAGCAGTCAACCTATACAAACAAGGAAATATCGTCGAGAAATTAGCAAATGCATACATCACAGAAAATCCCCTGGACATGAATGGAGACAAGACCAGCTGAAGAGTGACGAGAGGTAGTTGGCAAACATAGAAGCTTGCTCTTTGAAATGTTTGGCATTTCCCTGGAAAAGTTACACAGAGGTATTTTAAAAGCATAGAATGTCAAAGCTGGAAGGAACTTTAGAGATAATCTAATCCATCAACCCAATCTACAGGTTAAGGAAACTAACTCCCAGAGAGGGGAAGGGATTTGTCCAAAGTCACAACAGTGGTAAGGGGCTACTGGGACTCCTCAGCCTAGTCTTTTTTTTTGTACTGGGGATCGAACTCAGGACCTTGCAATTGTGAGGCAGGCAGCAGAACCACTAAGCTAAATCCCCAGCCCCAACCTAGCTTTTTTGACACCAAGTCAGTGAGTCCTTCTCTCTCTACCATTTTTTTCCTCTTTCGTTTCTCCACATTTCTGACTGTGGCTGAATTCTAGTTTAAGTAAGTTCATTTAAAAAAAAAAATCACACCTTCAGTACTTCACAAGTAAGCTCTTACTACTGTTCCCTCTGTCCCTGGGATTTTTGCAGGGCTGGTTTTTGCTCTCTCCTACTGACCTGTGAGTGTCTGAGAATTATTCAGATTTATGCTAAGGAAGCTAGCAGGCAGGAAGACATGCTTTCTCCCCAAAGTCTGATCTATTACCTCACAGGAAAAACCACTGACCTGGCAAAGTGCTCCCTCCCTGGCTCTCTCCATTTCCATGAAAATTTCCAAGGGCCCCCTTATACATTCAGTGACAAATAGTACAGGAGAGGATTGGGGGCAACTGCGACAGCATCCACAGCGCACCACAGGGACACACTGAGCACTCTCACCAACACCGTGCACACCACACACGTGGAGCCCTCGTGTACAGCACGCATGCACACAGACAACACATGTGGCCACATGGCCTCTGAAAGGATTAAGTAAGTTCTTGAAGAACTGAAATTGTGGGATATGGAGAAGAAAGAGCTTCACCCCTGGGTTTGATTGTGGCCCTGTCCTGGCTTCAGTCAGATTCCTAACTTCACCAAGGGTCAGTGTCATCCCCTGACCATAGGCTGTGAGCGGAATTTGATGAGATGGTGTGGATAAACTGTGTGGTCCAGTGCTACCCCCTGAGTGCTTGTCCTTCTTGTTATTTTTGTGTGAACTGCTGCTCGTCTGGGTTTCTGACTGCTCCACACCGCCGGGACTGTGGACAGCGAAAGATCTGATGAGCTATTTGAGACGCCTCCTAACCAGTCTCCCTGCTTCCACTCTCTCCTCTCCACTGCACCTGCCTTCAGAAGCGATCTTGCTGAACTGCCAATCTGCTCGCCTCCTTCCTTCCACGAGAAGCACCTTTGGCTGCCCTTCTCTTCTAGGATGAAGTCCAAACTCCTCACCTTGGCACATGCGTCCTCCATCGTCTGGCACCTGCAGCCCACAGGATCAAGCCTTACTGATTTGCATGTCACTTTCTGAATGATGATGCACAGAACATCCCTCCCTGTCTTTGCACATACTTTCCCCCACCTCCTGGGATGTCCTTCCTCCTCTTTGTGATGTAGCTCAGAAGTACTCAAAGTATGGTCCCTGGACTAGAGCTTCAGGGTCACCAGGCAACTTAAAAATGCAAATTCTTGGTCTCTCCTGTAGACCTACTGAATCAGAATCACTGGGCACTGGGATGAGCAATCTGTGGTTCGGCAAGCCCTCCAGGTGAGCATGTTTAAGTTTGAGACCATCTGGCTGGTGAAAGTTTTATCAGCCATGCTCAGGCACCATCTATCAGTTTATGCATCATCCCAACTCCTTGCTACACTTTGTAGAAAGATTGCTTCCTCCATCAGATCTCCTCAAAAGGTTCCTAAAGCTCTGAAAACATTGCATAGCGCTGATCACATTCTGTGGTTGTTATTGTTAACGGTTTGCATTTATGTTCCCACCACTAGGGGACCCTGTCACACTTAATTATTGGTCTGCCCCAATGTCCAGCCATGGACCTTGATGAATGCACTGTACTCTCCATGGTTTCAGGCATCCACTGAGGCTTTTGGAATGCATCCCCCGTGGATAAGGGGGATAAGTGAACAGTCACAACTAACACCTTTTTGACATCATCTCTGGAAAGCAGGTATTATGACTATCACCACACTGCAGAGAAATCTAACTCAGAGAAGTAGAGTGACCTGCTAATGAGGTGTGGGTCTCAGGATTCAGACGTCAGATTCACACTGCTGGAGATGAAGCACTGCTGTCTACATACACCACACAGACCCTGAACATGCACCGACAGCACTCACGCACAACACATACACACACAGACAACACACATGGCCACAAAGCCCCTGAAAGAATGAAGCCCAGGTGTGCATGCTCTGGAGATGCCCACGACTCTGGGAGTGCAGCAATCCCTTTGCCCGCTGGCTTCATTCCCAGTTAGCTGGTCCTGGTTGCAGGCTCTAAATGACCCATGCAGCCTTCTCTCCATCAGGCATTGTTAGCCAATGTTCTGCCTCCTGAAGACACTGTTTGAAACTAGGTCAAGGTCGGAGTCCTCAATCTGCCACTTGTCCCCTCTGTGGCCCAGCCCACCTCGTTTCCCTTGGAAGGCCCTCAGCTTTCTCACCTGTCAAGTGGGAAAGATACAGGGCCACAGTCCCTTACTTAATGCTCTCCAGGCCACATGGATCTCAGAATTCAGAATGTTTCAGGTTTTAGAAATGTAAGAAGTACACATGTGCTGTGTATTACCTAACATCCCACTGGGGCAGCGCCTCAATTATCAAACACATTAGTATTTGCAAAGCAAAAGTATGACTATTCACACCAAATGGCACAAATAGATTTGTATCATTTCAAACTGACCTTTACCAACAAGTTACGGAAGTGTTTTCATTTTTTCTGCGCTTCCAGGAATGTGGAATTTCAGAGATAATGGAATCACACATGCGCCAGAGGGTTACTACAAGGACTAAATACACACAGCGTACATGCAAAATACTTTTCCTGGACGTTGTGGGCAGCCAAGAGCTCTTCTTTTCTTCCTCCCCTTTCCAAATCCTACCCTTTTTTCAGGCCCCTTCCAGACCATCTTCCTGGGCTTTCCTGTTTGGGATGCATCCCGAGTATGCTCTTCCCAGACACAGGCGCACCTCCCTCACATCCTCCCATGTAACTGGGATCTCCTCCGATATTCAGTCATTGTATTTGGTCTTACAGTAGTGGAGATGTGAGAGGGCATGATTGTTGGTGAGCTGGTCTGGGTCCTTTCGTTCTTTTATTTATTTACCCGCTAGCAAAACCCTGGTCTCGGCCAGGATTTAGCTCAGTGGTTTCGCCGCGGCCTGCTGCACAAGCACAAGGACTCGAGTTCGATCCCCGGTACCAAAAAAAAAATAAGGCCTGGTCTCACCTAAGCCAGGGACCACTTTCCCACAAAGATGAGTAGGATCTTGTTCCCAGGAGAAAGCCCACCCAAGCGGTCCTCCCGCGCTGCCACGTGGCTGAGGGAGGTGCACACGAAGCGATGAACCAGCTCGGCCTATCTACCAGTCTAGGGATCGGCCAACTCCCGTCCCTCCAGGGCCTGGCCCTTCTCAGCAGTCACGCACAGCCACGCCATGGTTTGGAATCTGTGCCCCTGGAAGGCACCCGAGTGTGGAAGGGCAGCGGCCAGGCGCTCTGGGTCCCTGCGTCAGCCGGCAGAGCACCGTGTGGCTGCTGTGACGAAACTGCACGGTGGAATGGGAAAGGCCCTGCCCTGATCTAAGCCGTCATTATGTGGGTCCGATTCTGGCCACAGACGCCACGTGGGTAGTCAGGCCTCTGCTGTTATTTCGCCCTCAGGGGTGAAAACATCCAAACAGTGGAATCTTTTTATGTTCCTGGCTCCAGTCTCGGAATGCACAGACTTTGGACTCACCGTTGTTTGTCTCTATCACCTCCCCAGGCAGAAGGGCCTCCCGAGACGCACATCTCTCCTTCCTGCGTCCCTGGCTGCCTCACAGCTGGCGTCCTCCCCACCACCCTGGCAGGTGCCTACTGCCTAGACAACTAGGGAGCCGAGGCACCCGCTGGGGCCTGGCCCTCTGGGACAGGTGAGGCTGGTTGGAGGCTGCGCGGTGGTGGAAGGTGGGGGCCGAGCCGGTCAGCCAGCCTGGGGTCCCCTCAGGGCGCAGAGCAACGGGAGGCTCTGGGGCTTGCGAGCAGCAGGCGCTGGCCCGGGCCGCCTGCGCCCCTCGTGGCGCTGGTGGGAACTGCAGGTCCGCGCCCTGGGTAACCGCGATTGTTGATTTCGCAGGCTTTGATGAGGCGGGCGTCTTCAGAGGAATGCAGACCTGTCTGCACCCGAAAACCAAAACTGGGGCCAAGGGGCGGGGCCGCGCGGCTGGCAGAGAGGCCCTACCTCAGCAGGGCGGACATGTTATCTGGAAAGTGGGCACTGAGGCAGGTCCGGGACTGGAGCCAGCTACACTGCTTTCCCATGTGCGCAGGCGCGGATCCCGGAGCACGGGAAAGGGGCCCCGTGGGGCGGAGAGCTGCAGGCTCCCTCTTCTGTGTGCAACGACCGCGCCAGGGGGCGGCTGCTCCACAGAGCCCACGAGCAGCTTTCTCAGGGATTCTTTGAACCAGCCCCGCGATGTTCTGAATCATCAGAACCAGGTTCTGCTCCCTCGCCGTCGCTACCCACACTGACCTCCCACTGCTGGCCACTCTGCGCCCGTGGCTAATGAGCTGTTGAAATGCGCTCCTAATCGACACCAGCTTTGGGAGATTTCGTATTTTAAAAATATACCTTCTTATTTTTTGTCCCCTGGGACAATAAACCATAGTATAATTGATTTTTACTTGTTTCTCTTTTTCTTTTTGAAGTGCTACCTGAAAATTTTAAATGACAAAGTTACTGCTACTCTCCCTGTTCTTCCAACTTGCCAAGCTTCCTTCTTGCCCCAGGGCCTTTATACTTGATCTCTCTGCCTAGAATGCTTTTTTTTTTTTTTTAACATGACTTCCTTCTCCCTTGCCATTTAAATAACAACTCAAATTTCTCATACCTGACTACTTACTAAACAATCTCAGTGTCCCTCTTTTGTCACACCATCTAGTTTTAGTGTCCTCACACCTCTTAGCACTAGCTTTATGTTGTATTTACTGCCCCCTCTCCCGAGCGTGGAGGCTGAGCCCTTGCATATCCTGTTCTCTGTTGCCCAGAGTAAATAGTTGTTGAATGAATGTTGCAAGGATCCTCCTAGGGGTGACTCGTTCAAATGCCTTTGTTTGCTTCAAAGCCAAAATTCTAGTCTCTGCGACTCAGATAGACTTCCTCATGGATCTTTTGTTTTGCCTTTCTATTTCCTTTTCCTGGGAGATGGAAAAGCAAATAGGCTTTACATTAACACTCTTGTTGGTTTGCAGCTGAGCATTAAGATGGAGAGTTCAGGCTTTGGACAGAAAGGGATCTAATCTAGTCTTGGTTTTGCCCATCTGTTCTGTGGACCTGGTGGAAGTCTCTCTCATGGCCACAATGTTCCCTAACTATTGATCTCTAAGGGTGCTTCCTACCCAAATGTGAGGACTTGGTTTGGGGATTGAGATTCCTCCTAAGGGCAATTGGCCCTGCTTTGCATTCAAAAGTCACTTAGCTGGCATGGCCAAGTCTCCATTAATCAGGCAGCCAGCGTGCTCCAGGCAAGAAGTGTACTGGCTAATTGAGACTTCTGGCTAAGGATCAACTACAGAGCATCCTTATTGAAAATATGAATGATATATGAATCTATTTTACAGCTCTAGAATGTTACCTCATCAAACAAAATCACACATTCTTAGAAAATATATTACAATGGTATTGCTGTTTCCCTCTCACAATTGAAACTGAGCCCTGGGGCTGGGGTAGAAATCCTTTGTGGGTTCCCCAGCTTAAACACAGCTGTGTGACTTTAGGAAAGGGTCAGCTTTATCCTCCAGAGTATTCATTTTCTTGAGTGGCAATGGGTGATACCCCCCCCCGCCCTGCCCATCTTCCAGGGCAGTTGTGAAAACACATATAGAGTGCTGAGCACAGTGCCTGGCATGTACCAAGTGGCCACCGATAATTATTATCATTTGCAATGCCTCTGCCCACTGCAATTTTACTGAGCCACACAGCTAATGAAAGGATGGCAAGTGCCAGGACAGAGCTGGCCCCTGGACCTGGCCTGCTTCCAACACCTCTTGGGGCTCTGAGCCAGCTTTGACATTTCCTGGCCTCCATTCCTCAGGGTAAGACAAGATGGTCTGGCTGGCCCCTGATTTGTGGCCTAGAGTTGGAAAGTGCTGGGTTCCCAGGGTGTCCTGGGGTCTTCCCCTCTGGGCCTTGGGTATCACCTTGGGTCCTTCCATCCTGGCCCAGGTGGCCCCAGCTAGGGATCTCCCTAGAAGCAAGTTTCCAGCCTGGCCAAATTGCTGTTAGCGGGCCAGGGATTTAGTTCAGTGGTTCCAGCACCTGCCTTGCAAGTGCAAGGTCCCTAGTTCAATTCCCAGTACCACCACCCGCCCCCCCCAAAAAAGAAATACCAAATTGCTGTTAGCTAGATTGCATTCCTGGGGCAGCCGCTACGTGCTTGCCTCTGCCCAGGAAAAGCTGTCTTGCAACGCCCTCTGGAGGACACAGGGCTTCCTTTCCTCTGCCATCTGGCTGCAGTGCTAGGCCCCAGGGACTAAGCCAAGTCAGGGGTGTAGAAGCAGAAAGAAGTGTTAAGCTTGCAAATGTTTGCAGAGCAAGGGTGCACTCAACCTAACTCTGCATTGCAGATCTCGCACAGGCTCCTCCCCGGGCTCCCTGCCTCTAGATTGTGCCCACTCCTCTCTTGCAGGGACACCCACCCCAGCCCCTGCTTAAAACCCTTCAAGACTTCTCATGCTTGGCTTCCTGCAGGACCCTCAGGGCCTCTCCAGGGTCATTTACAGCTGTGACCCAGTCTCCAAGACTGACTTACCAATTAGACATTGCAAGAGTAACAACAAAAAGATTTGTTCGTGAGCATCTTTTTCTATATGTATGTATATTTTCCAAATGTTCTCAAACAAGAAGGTTGCCAAGTTGAAATTGGTGAATATGTCATTAAATGTCTACAAAAGATAACATTATATCAATTGTCTTTGCAACTGGCCTCCATGGTTAGGTAGCTATACATCGCTCAAATTTAATATGCAATGTGGGAGAATTTTAATATGCATTGTATGATCTGGGGACGGGGCTTTAAAAATTAACAGTCCTGGAGCCTCTGAGTTCTAAAGTCATCCCTGCCCTTCGCATGCTCTGCTTTAGCCACCCCCAAAACAACCTGCTGTTCCTTCCTCAGGCTCTACTTTCCCCAAGCTCCAGGACTTTGCACCTGCTCTTCCTCTGTCCGAGTGTCCTCTATTTCCCTTCCCACCCCTCACCCTCTGCACCAGGGCGGGCTGACTCCTTGGAATCCCTCCACAGACATCTCAGGAGCTACTTCCTCTGAGATGCTACTTCTAACATCGAGTTGGGACCCCTGCAGCAAGCTACCTTTCTTCTCACATCTTTTGCAAGAAGATTGTGGCAAGAAGGCTCACATCAGCATCTTCCTGGCCCTGAGCCTGACCACCCTGGGACCTCATTCAGCCTTTCCCCCCAGTTCTTGGATCAGTGTTTGGGTCATAGTGTCTTCCCATAATGGGTGGCTGGCTGGGTGGGTGGATGGATAGAGGGGTGGAGGGATGGATGGGTGGATGATGGTGAGAGGATGTATGCATGGAGGAATGGATCAGTACAAAGTCTCAGAACTGAAGGTTAGGAAAGGAGGTTCACCACCCAATGTCTGGGTGTCCTGGAAACTAGCAGTCTAGGCTCCACTAGGTACGGTTATCTTCTGGGGAAAGGAAACTTCTGGCTTCATCACTGTACTCTATGATCTTGGCTATGTTGTTTTTCTTTTCTAAGATTATCTTTCTATGTGTTAAAGGGGCTAATAATACACAGAATCATATAAGGTTAAATGAAATGACGTATGAATTGCACGGTTGTTTGACACCTGAGTTATTGCTGCCCTTACTCAAATTCCACACAACAGGTGTCCTGGCACTGTGAGAAGCTTCTTCCTGAGGTTCACCTAAAACCCTTCCTCACACCACCTGCTCACCCACCACTCTGCTTTCTGGGGTCCCCCACACAGGGCAGGGCCAGTGTGCTTTAGTGGCATTCGTGGACGGGTGACATGCTGTCCTTTCGCTGAGCTGATTCCCCTGCCTGAACACTGGACCAAAAGCACCAACCAACCAAGCTCTGGGTGGAGTGATGCCCTAAGGCACAATCACCAAGCTCCTGAATGGGGTCAACTCTAGACAGAGAGCAACAATTGCAAGGAGAAACAGCAACAACATGCGAATTGCAAGAGGAAGATTGTTTTTAAAAAGGAAGAGCCTTTAGACTGAAAAAAGACTGAAGAGATACAGCTGTACATGAATTCTGTTTGCATGTTGATTAAAACAAACCAATAATTTACAAAATTATGTCACAGTCATGGAAATCTAAACACTGGATGATACCAAGAAATTATTTTTAATTTTTTAGATGTAATTATGGTATGGTGTGTGTTTTCAGTTCTTACCTTTTGGAAATACCTACTGAAAAATTTATAAGTGAAATGGTGAGAGACACAGAATCTGATTCAAAATGGCACCTATATGAGGAGTAGGTCATGGGGAATACACAAAGGGGATGGATGAAATAAATCTGTGTATGTGTTATACGTTCTGTATCTGGGTACGTGGTTATTATGCTATTCTTTTTAGTTTTCTATGTGTTTAAATTTTTCCATAATGAGTAGTTTTTCCTGATATATATATAGTTTAGGCTGGGCTTGTACTCATTATGTACTCCAGCCTGGCCCCTAACTCACAGCAATCCTCCTGCTTCAGCCTCTTGAGTGCTGGGATTACAGGCAGATGCCACCACACCTGGTTCTATTAAGGTATAATTGACAAACAAAATTATTTGAGATATACATCATGGTGATATATTGTAAAAAGTTGTACATATTTAAAGTCTTCAACATGATTAATTTATATATTAGGGTTTATCATCACAAGTTATTAGCACATCCGTCACCTTATGCAGTTAATTATGTATGTGTTGAGAACATTTGAGATCTATTCTCTTAGCAATTTTTCAATAATACAATACAGTGTTATCGACTATAGTCACCATGACATACTTGGATTCTGCAGAATTTATTTATCTTATAACCAATAATTTGTACCCTTTGAATGTCTTCCATTTTTCCTGCCCCCTGGACCCTGGCAACCAACATTCTGATTTCTGTTTCTATAAATAGGACTTTCCCAGATTCCACATATAAGTGAGACCATACAGTATTTCTTTCTTTGACTGACTTATTTCAGAAGAATAATCCCATCTAGGTTCATCCACGTTGTCACAAATGGTAGGATTCCCTTTTTTGCGTGGCTTAATATTTCACTGCATGCACATATATATGCACATACATAGACACACACTTTCCTGTCTTTATTTTGTACCAGGGATCAAACTCAGGACCTTGTGCTTACACATTTTCTTTTTATCCCAGAAATATTTAGACTGTTTCATGTTTTGGCTGTTGTGGATAATTCTGCAGTAAACATAAAAGTGCAGCTATCTCTTTGAGATCCTGATTCTTTTGAATATATATCTAGAGAGGATTTCCGGATCACATAGCAATTCTATTTTTAATATTTTGAGGAAACTCCATGCTATTTTTCATAATGGCTGTACTAATTTACCTTTCCAACAACAGTGTACAAGGGTTCCTTTCTCTTCATAACCTCACTAATACTT